GAGTAGGTGAGGACCCTGGACTAGAGAAGGGTGGGAGATGAGGCTCGCCTCCAAACAGTCCTCTGCACCAGCAACTCTATCAAGCACTTCATGCCAGTCTCCATGCTCACTCACAAGTTTTTGCCTTAAACAGAAATTCCCTGTGCCTCAGTTTCCAACAAAACGGGTACAGTACCTACTTCACAGTTTTATTTACGAGAGTTACGCATGTTCACACTTAAAAGGTACTTAAAAAGATGCTTCTTAAAAAGAACTGAGACACAGAGATTTGTACACCAGTGTTCACAGAAGCAATATTCACCATCACAAGAACATAGAAACAGCCCAAATGTTCAACCACTAGGGACTGGATTGAGAAATTGTGATTCCATTCACACAATGCAGCACTCAGATAAACAATTTCAAAAAAATACTACATAACTTGGGAGACACTGGAGAGCATTATATTAAGTAAACTAACTCAGTCTCAATAAGGATACATACTGCAGAAGACCATTCGTGTAAAAATAGAAGGATAACTAGTAAAACATGTCTGGGGACCCAAAGGTGGAAGGGGTGGGAGCAGAGGGGTGAGGATGGGTAGGGGTGAAAACATAGTGTTGCACAGTTTGGTGAGTAGAGGGAAGAGGTGAAGGAAAGAAATGGAAAGGATCTGGTGGGCAAGGTCCAATGATGGTGATTTCTGTTATAAAACATGGGAACGAGACTGTATGAAACACAATGTGAATTTAAGAACCATGTGAAACACAATATATATGACCTTTGTAAGCAAAACCTTATAAAATAATAATAATAATAATAATAATAAATAAAATCCACCAGCAGCTCCCTTAAGGACAAGCAATTTTCTCTCTTTCATTTACAGCCTTGAAAACTCAACAGAGAGCGAGCTATGTGTTGGTTCCGACTCCATGGCAACGAGTTGCGTTTGAGTATATAGTAATGCTCAGAAGAAACTGTGCTACTAATTTTATTGCTACTAATAGTCATCAAATACATCTACTCTTACTTTTCTCCCTCCTCCTCCAAAACTATAGGACTGGCTTGATTATCTCTGTTTCACAAATGAGCGAACAGGAGGCAGCTATATAGTTAGAGGCTGATCTGAGGTTCAGGGCAAAGTCCCTGCTCACCGCAGCAACACTAATGCAGTCTTGTCTGACAGCCACAAGCTGAAACAAGGACTGTTGGGATCTTGAAGGCAGCCTTTTGACTTGGTTTCCCATCTGTAAAATGGGCATATGCATCCATTAAACACATGCAGTTAACGGGGGGGGGGCACACATAACATCCGAGGTTCCTGTGCTTTGTAACTGATCAAGTACTTGTTGTTGTTGTTGTTGTTGAGTACTGTTGATTTGGAACCTACTCACAACTGACCCTTCAGCTGGTTTTCAGAAGCAGTTAAATTGCACGGGAGGAGACTGTCCATCGTTCGAACCACATACATTTAGGATTGCAGCGCAGCTTCTTGCCACTAGGCCACCAGAGCTCCCAGTAAAGTACATACTAACATTTTATATCAATAAAATGAAGGGGGGCTGTGACTAGTCCCCAGCAAAATTACGGGAGGCAGAAGCTGAAGGAAGAAGGTTAACGTTTCTGTTTTGAAAAGTTGCTATTGATTATTTCATTAAGGAAAAAAAAAGTTAGTTCTGAGAAAAGGGCTGGTCAGTGAGTGCAGTGATGTGGCAAACAGACAAAATCGGTCAGCTTAGAGGAACCCTCTCTCTGAGATGATGCAGTATTCAGGAGAAAATGCTTCCGCCTTGCTTGCCAACAGCCACGATCATCCCTGCAGCCAAGAGAGGTGGATCCCCACACCCTCTCCCCCGGCAAGTTCTTTCCTTCTAGTATGTTCGGGCCTCAGCGGGAAGGAAGGAGGAAGAAAGGCCTGCTCTTTCAAAGACAAAGAGAATATTACTTGAACTCAAACTTGGCCTTGCCTGAAACAGACAAGAAAGCTGTTCTTTAAGTTCTCAAGGCTGCAGAAACCCGAAGAGCTGGGCTCTGTGATTTAGGGCTACCAGGTGGGAGATGGGAGCCCCAGGTTCTGACCATGTATCGTGCCTTGCTGTAATTTAGTAAAATGTCTCTCTTTCAAGGTAATCAGGAGCCACTGTGTTTGTCAGTCGGGCTGAAGCCCAGCTCTCGTTCCTGGAGCAGCTGATGGGCTAAGCGGCAGCTCGAGCATCACCAGTGAAGCTGGAAATCTGAGTCTGCTCTCTTCAGGTCAGGACCTAATTGCTCGCCCACTGTCTCTCATGTCTCCTTCTGCTGGGATGGGAAGCTGGGGAGTGGGATGCTGAAGCTGTATAATGCTGCAGATTTGACAAAAGGCAGGGAATTCAAAGTGAAAAGAGTAACGAACATGTATTTGAACACAGAGAACTAAATATTTTGGTGGAAGCAGAAAAAAAACTTATGAAAAATGAGGTTAATGTGGGAAACAGTATTACAGCACTGGCGTGCGCCGCTTGCCTCTATAATTAAATTTACCTCAATTCCACCTCATCAGATTTCTTGAGATTACCAGGGATGCATCAATAGCAAATTACGCTTGATGAATCATTTCACAAATTGCATCGCTCCCACCTTCATGTTCCCTGTCACTGGAACATCGTTAACAAATACAATTATCCACAGAAGGAGGGTTGCTCTGAGTGGGAGCATGTGACCCTGGCCCACTCAGGCTTGGGTAGGAAGCGGCCTGCCTTCCTCAGAATCTCGGAAAAGCTGGAGAACTAGGACCAGGGGATGGCCTGGCTATTTCACTGATGTGGTGCGGACAGTGGACACAGGACAACTCCTATCTCTTTATTTTCCCATCCACCCATCCATCCATCCATCCATCCATCCATCTATCCATCCATCCATCCAATCTACCTGTGTATTTATCAAGACGGGACATTGCTAACACAATGACAGGAAGTTAAAATCTACTGCTGCTTTTCAAGAGAAAGATGGACAATTTCCTGTGCCATTTGTTGTTGTTATGTGTCATCGCAATGTCTGCAACTCATAGCAACATATATCTATCTGACATCTTCCTATGTAGACCCTGCCTATCTAACTATCTATGGTTTCTAAAGCAAACAGAAAGTTCTTTTCTCTGCCCTTCCCATCCACATCTACCCTCTAAGTCCATACGTGGTACAAATGGTCAAGTGCTCAACAGCTATTTGAAAGGTTGGTGCTTTGAACCCACCTGGATGCACCATAGAAGACAGTCTGCCATTCTCCTTCTGAAATCACAAGCCTTGAAACTTGAAGTACTGAAAAGCAATGATGTCAGTCTAGAGACTAAGGTGCACCTGACCCTATGGTCTACTCTGTCTCCATGAGTTGGAATCAACTCACTAGAAAATAGCTACCTTTAAATCTGGGCTTGAAAAATCCCTGGGGATGTTAAGAGACGTGAACTTAAATGAGAGAGAGAGAGAGAGAGAGAGAGAGAGAGAGAGAGAGAGAGAGAGAGAGACAGAGAGAGAGAGATTTGAGGACATTAAATAGGTGAGCTTTGGGCCAGTTAGATTTGGAAAGTCCATCTTTTGCCTGCTCTGGAGGGGAGCACTTACCCACTGAATGCCCATGTTTTGTTACAGATGGTGGTTTGGGGGCTGTTACAATGAAACATTGACTGATGAAGCTCAAAGACTACAGTCTTCAGCATGGATTGTTACTGTTATGTGCCATCATATCACCTGTGACTCACAGTGACCCTATGTACAACAGCCCTAGACCCTGCCCTATCCTGTGCCAATCTCACTGTCTATGACACACTTACCCCCATTACCCCAGTCACTGAATCAATCTACCTCATATCCTTGCCTCCAAGGATTAGCATGGATTACTTTAACCAAAAATCTTTGTTAACTGGACCAATAAGCAACATGAAGAAGAGACTGTAACTGTCAGAGGTTTCATTTGACCTAGATTCATAATCAAAACTCACGGAAGCAGCCGTCAAAGAATCAAATGACACACTGTATTGGGCAAATCTGCTTTGAAAAACTTCTTTAAAGTATTAAAAGGTAAAAGACTTGGCTGTGGAGATTACGGTGTTTTGACTAAGGTGTGCCAGGGTATTTTCATTTGTCTCAATTGTATGCAAAAGCTGGACAATGAATAAGGAAGACTGAAGAACTGAGGCTTGGACCGTTGGTGTTGGTAAAGGCTGCTGAACTGTCCAAAGAACAAACGGGTCTTGGCAGAAGTGCAGCCAGAGAGATCCTTGAAAGCCAGGACTTCTGTCTCACAGACTTTGAATGTTTTATCAGGAGGGTTCAGTCCACTGCACACTTGATAGGTGGTCAGCAAAACAGAGGTAGAAGAATGTCAACGAGATGGACAGACACACATTTTGGACATGCTTATATTGTTTTGTGCTATTCCAAATAAGTCTGCTACAAATATTTCTGTAGAAATTTCAAGGGCTTATACCCATAGGGTGGGATTTCTGTGGGGAAGAATATTTGAATGTTCAACTTGTTAGGAAATGCTAAACTGATTTTCAAACTCGTTGGAGCAGCTGACCCGACCAAGAGTCTCGAGTGCACTCCTATCACTCCTCAGCTGCTCCAAACTGTGGTTTTTAACATTTTCCAGTATGTCTGGGAAGTGTCAAATGAAATATTTTAAAACTGCATTTGTGTTATTGTTTAAAAGCCCGACTTATGTTTTACTCTTTTCCAATACATTTGCTGGCTTATAAAGGAGTTCTGGTGGGATAGTCAGGACGGAGTCAGCTAACAAAGGTTTCTCCTCTCTCTGAAGATTCAGCACATCAGTGAGAGAAAGATAGGAAATCTCTTCTCATGAAGGGTCAGCTATGAGTTGGTTCTAACTCAACAGCAATGAATGAATAAGTGAGTATACTGGCTAATTGTTACGACTCAAAACCATTTTCTATAAAGGTCAGAGAGTACATACTTTTTGGTTATATGGTCTGTGTTACAACTACACTAAACAAATAGGCATCCCAGGAAACATATAAACAAAAAGAAATGTGATTGTGTTCCAAGAAAATCTTATTAACAAAAACCAGATGGTACCTGGATCTAGTATGCACCTTGAAGTTTTCTACTTTTCAATTTCTGGGTTTCAAAAATATATGCAAAGTATGAATACTTTATCTTACATATCTAATATCTTTCATTGTTATGTGGTTTCTCTTTTCAACTGTTGTTGTTGTGTAACCATTGATTTGGAACCAATCCATAGCTGACCCTCCATGGGTTTTCAGAGGCTGTTAATTGAACGGGAGGAGATTGTCCATCCTTCTCCTGATTATGTGGTCTATCTTCCCTGTCCCTCCTCAGGTGTGAACAGCTAGCTTTATTCTACAACTAAAGGATACTTCATGCAGGTTTCTAAAAGAATATATTTTCTTCTCTTCAAACTTGTAAAACACATGCAATTATAGAAAATAGAAAAGCAGAGAGCACAGAAGACACCCTTAATAAACTTGATGATTAGTTTGTGCTTTGTCTTTTGATGAAGATAATTTTCTAATTTTAATGACTTTTTTTTTTTAGGAGGGGACCCAAGTTTTCTTTCCCCATCTTACTTAAATATTATCCAGAATTTCTTGGAGTCCAATTCGAGAGTCCCAGCAGGGATGTACCACGCTTGCTTACGATGTACAGGAGGGTGGTTCTTTATGTCAAAGGAGTAGGCAAAGCGGTGCCTAGAGCACACAGCACACTCTCCTGGTCAAGCCTACATCTGAGAGCATGCCTGCAGTGGACGTGGACTGTAATGCCTCAGAAATGGCTCATCTTACCTGCAGAGACATTGAGATTACTCACCTGGTTTGATGGGCTGCCTGTTAGAGAAAGTCAGCGGTGCAACAAGGAATTTAGTCTCCGCAACGGGCACCCAGTGGTGTAAAATTTTCACGGTCCAGACCCCGGGTCTCAGGGGCAAGTTCAAAGGAGGTTTGTAGTGAGTGAATTCGGCAGTGGACTCAATCAGGATGTCGTAGGTGGCTGCGATGATATTGACGGGGTCCACCCAGATGACAGTCACAGTCACGTTGGGACCCTTCCCCCACTTCTGCATGCCCACTGGCTCATCCATGGGTCCCAGGAGACCCCCAAAATTGCGGAACAGCCTCTCCTTAGCATCCCAGTCAGTGCCGACCTGAAACAAGAGAGCGAGATCTGAAACCACTGGTGATGAATTAGGATGCTGGGCCCCAGAAAGGCTTGTTGTTGTTGGGATTAGGGTTAGGGTTCAGGTTAGAGGGTTAGGGATAGAGTTAGTGACCTTATGAGCAACAGATCTGAGTCTATATTCAGTAAGATGTTGCTGCTCTCTGGTGGCCTAGTGGCAAGGAGCTGCAACTACAATCCCAGAGGCAAACAGTTCGAATCCACCAGATGCTCTGCCGGGGAAGGAGGGACAATCTCCTCCTGTACCAGTCAGATCTGATTTGACAGTACACGCACAATAAATAATAAAATAATTTAAGTGCCTTGGGGATTACAGCACAGCTTCCTACCACACTGTATTACACCTTCTTCGTGATCTCCTATATGCTCCTTCTCATTGGCTCCACACTTTACAAGTAAGGAAACCAAGGCTGCAGTTAAACCACCAGCCCACAGTGAGTCAGCAGGACTAGAGTTTGGTCCCAAACTGATAGATTACAAGGCCTGTGCCTTGTAATGAAAAGTCTATGATAACTTAAGGTTTAGCTCTTTCTTGAAAGACTGGAAGTTCAAACCCACCCAGATACCTCAGAAGAAAGCCCTGGAGATTTTCTTCCAAAAGATCAGTGTCATTGAAAACTCTACACAACACAGTTCTACTCTGGCCCCCATGGTGACACCAGGTCATGGCTGTTGTCAGTCGAGTAAGACTGATAGCAATCTTATGAAAAAGAGATCTGAACTTTGTCCTATCATGTGCCATCTTCACACCTCCTGACACACCAGAGCAGTCACTGTGGCAGTCACTGTGACAATCTATCTGGTTGAGGGTTTTGCTCTCCTTGGCTGACCCTCCACCCTCCCAAGCATCATGTCCCTCTCCAGGGAACAGTCCTTCCTAGCAACATGCCCAAAGTATGTGAGACAAAACCTCATCATGAATTAGAATAAATTCCATGGAAACTCGGTGTGTGTGTATGTGTGCGCTTTCACTGAACTGTTTGGTCTCTGGGCCTGCCACATGGTATGTGTGTTGAGAAAACCTTGTGCATGAATATACAACTTGTGCACTGTTAAGAGTAAACATACCCCCTTCTTTATCGATGCTTTCACTTCAGCCCCTTGACTTCTGTAACTGAGAGCTCCCACTCCGGGATCAAGGGTGTGGGAGCCGATGTCTCATAGACAAGGCACATCCTTCAGCCCACCCAGCAGGACACCCAGCTGGAACAGCTCCCAGCTCTTCTGTGCTGGGCCCTCGGCATGAGGAGGTGGTGGTGTCACATAGCCTTCTTGCCTATAGGTGGGCACAGTTGGTTCTGACTCTGGGAACTCCTCTGGGCTTCTCTTCTCCCTTGCAAACCTTCCGCAACTTATTGTCCACCCAAGAGGTCTAACCACTGTCTAAGTGTGCCTCCACTACTCAAGCTCTCTGTGCTTCCAAGTGGACTCACTAGAGCCACGATTCCCTAGCTGGCCCCCTGCCACCCCCTACAAGCGTCTCTTGCTCACCACAGTCAGGTTTGCCTTCTTTCCGCCCTTCAAACCCATCAGGTCCATTTCTTCCTGGAGATTTTCACCTCTTCTGTTCTGCCTGGAATATTCTTTCCTGAGGCTTTTGCCTAGCAAGCGCCTTGTATCTGTGGCCACTTCATAGTCCTTCCCTGACCACCCCTCCCCAGATCTCCAAGTGAAAATGGCCCATCAGTCACACACACTGTCACAGCCAGCTGCTTCATTTTCTTTGCACCGGGGCCCATTAGTGCAGCCAAGACTGCTTGGTGCTGAATCTGCCCTCCCCTCCTGTGCTAAAGTGGGCCTGGCCTGCCACATCCCTACTTTCCTGATACCTCTTGCTGCGTTCAGCACACAGTAGGTGCTCGCTCAACACTGGCCCGATGGGTGAGCGGAAGACTGCGTCAAAAAGCAAATGAAGTCTCTAGACTCTTGATCCTGGGCTCTGTTGCTATTTCAAATCAAATTAAATTAGAGGTCTTGGGCTCCCCCAGGGGATTAATTTCATGTTTCTAGAGACACAGCATGTGGGTCTGTTGGAGGAAGATAATGAGCAGAGATAAGCCTTGTGCTGTCACTGCTGTGGTCTTTTCTGAGCCGGGGTTGGTGACGCACACTGAGGGTCACAGGGAAGGCACGGGTTTACACATACCTCAGCCCCGAGAAGATCCCATCCACGCAGTGCAAACAGAAGCCCATTTACTTTCGGGTTCTCACCCCGAGTTGCTATGTCCATTCTTTACCCAGGACACACAGCAACGTGGCTAATGTTTACTGAGAGCTTACTGTGAGCCAGCTGTAAGGCCAGGTGCATGGATGCACCCGTTGACTTACTATTCCCAGCCCGCCGCGAGGAGACCACTGCCTTCAACTTCCCTGCACAGACAAGGACACTGAGGTTCCCAGTGGCTCACAGCACTTGCTCCAGCTGCTTCAGCCAGTATGTGGCAGAGCTAGGAAGCCAGGAAGTCTGATCCCAGGGGCATTCACCCACTCCTCCAACAAAGACATATGGATCACCCCTTGCAGGGGCAGTGGGCAGGGACCGAGGGGCTACCCTGAGGGTGGCACCCATGACCAGTGCTCTAACATCTCTGTAGGGGCCTCTGTCAGAGAGGAGCCCATGTGAAGGCCCTGAGGCTCCAGGGAGGAGCTTGGTGAGCTCAAGGAACAGTAGCTGGATGAACTCCGAGTCTCTCCTGCCCTCTGGAGCCAGCAGGGTCCTGCTCCTGCAGAGAACCCTAGGACCTGGCACCGTGTCCAGCATGCGGTGGGAATTCAAATAGTGTCATTGAGAGAATGAGTAGGATTCAAGGTGGGCCTTAAGAGTTCAGAGTTTCCAAAAGAATATTGGATTTGCTGTTTTCTTACAACCTTTTTTTACCCCTTCATTGTTCTCAGGTCCAGTCTGCTGACCCAGCCATGAGATCTCCTTTGGTCTGGCTCTGCCTCTGTCCCTGGGTCTCTGCTCCCCTGATCACTCCTCCAGGCTCCCTGGTCTCACGCTCGCTCCTTTGGGTGAAAGGCTCTCCTGTGCTTTGAAACCTTGTCCATGTCTCACCCCACAGCCTTCCACCGCTCCCACCCTCCTCCTGAGGCTCCTCATCACTTAGAGACCTCTCACCCTGGAGGCTTTCCCTGGGCTCTGTTTCACCCCTTTGAGTGCCCCCTTGTTTTTTCGCAAGGAGCAGTTGGTGGGTCAGAAACATCAACTTTTCAATTAGCAGCCAATGCTTTAAACCACTGTGCCACCAGGGCTCCTTAGTTCCCATGGAGTCTGGGGAAGTTACTGCTTATGCAGCACTGAGTTTTTGTCCACAGTGGAAGACAAATCTTATCGATAAAGGGTTGAGTTTCACTGTCAGGGTGAATTGCACTCAGTAGGTCGTGTGATGTTGGTATCTACTACAACAACAACAAAAGCGTAGCTGCTGAGGCTGTTTATGTAGAAGCAAACCCTTCTGAGGTTTGGCTCGTTGGTTTAAGACTCCAGCAATCACACAAACACATTTTATTGGTAGTATGTGCAACTGGGAAGACAAAAGAACTCATGCCTTTGAAATGTGGATCAACACAGAGAGAGACCAGTTGGCCTAGTGGACAGAAAGGTATGCTACCAAGCCAAAGGTGGGTGACTTTAATCTGCAGCCCTCAGGCCTTGTTTTTCATTGCTTTTGTTCAAACATTCTTCTAGGTCATATAGCCCTGATGTGTCCACTTGCTGTACAGCGGTACCTTGTGGTTGATGTGAAGCTGAACGCCGTGACACTGATGTGTCAAATGTGATAATGGTTACCCATGGTGAACAGTGTTTGATGGAGCTTCCCGAGTAAAACAAGCTTGGAAGAAGGAGTGGCATCCACTTCCATAACAGCTTGCCTCCAGAAACCCTATGAACCTAGAGAAAGAATAAAAGTGTTGAGGACTTTCGTTCATAGGGTCTCTATGAGTCACCTCTAACTCGACAGCACTTAACAACAACAACTGAAAGAACTAAAAGAGCTCTGATGGCCTAGTGGCAAGAAGCTGCACTGCAATGCGGAAGGCACAGAGTTTGAGGCTATTGGCTGCTCCATAGGAGATGGATGGGCAATCTCCTCCCATGACATTACTGCCTCTAAAACCCGTTAAAGGGTCAGCTATGGGTCGGCTCTGACTCTACGGTACACAGTAACAACAATAGGCAAGAATGGGGAAACTTCATCACGTCGACGTCAGGCGTGCTGTCAAGAGCGGCCAGTCCTTGGACCAAAAACTATGCTGCTGGAAAAGTAAGAGGATCAGAGAGAGAGAGAGAGAGAAGATCTTCGTCAGGCTGGACTGACGCAGTGCCTGCAGTGATATGCCCGAGTGTGACGGAGATTGGGAGGATGGCAGAGGACAGCGTAAGTTCCTGATCCGCTGTTCACAGCATCATGACGAATCACAGTCGACTGGACAGTTCCTGACCGCAATGACGACCTTCATGAAAGCAGACCGCCTCAGCTTTCTCTTGGATGGCTAGTGGGTTCAAGCTGCCACACTTCAGTAGCCAAATCCTTAACAACTGTATCACCAGGCTCCTTCTATCTGCTCTTACGAGCCTGCAGTTCCATGACAAGGAACCTGGTATGCTGAGTTCTCAGCTGCACCTCTGACCATTGCAGGGACTCCGTGACAGTCTATGGAAATAAACTTCTATTCTCCAAGCCAAGAGCGTGAGACGTCCATGGGAAGGAGGACTCTTTCTGAGCTGCTCAATGAAGCCCCATCGAAGGCCCTGTGAATGGGGCTCCCATGAGGGTGACAGTCCACAGCTCACAGGGTGTCCCAGTGGCTCTTCTCTTTCTTTGTTCCTCTTACACTTTTACCATTACACATAATTTAAGCTCTAGGGGGGAAAATATCAAAACACAAGATCCAGGACTCCTGGCCATCAGCTGCCTTTACTTGGCCCGTGATTTTTGACAAGTTCTCTCAGCAGGGGTAAGAGCCCGATGGGGAGAACCTTGGGAAATCACGAACCAAGGTTTGGGACCATCGTTTGTCATTGCCAGAGACGCCCTGTCATCCTACAGCAGGCTGATAAACAAGCAGAGCCGAGCCACCAGACATCCATCTCCTTAATGGGACATTAATGCCTTCAATTAGCCACTTGGGCCCCCAACACAGAATCCAGCTGGGGCAGTGTCCAATGGTCCCCCGACACCGGTAATTTATGAGTGGGTTCTTGTGACAGTGCACATGCAGCAAATCCACTTGGAACCTCACTTGAATATAGGGTGTATTAACAAGAAAATGCCTGGCCAGGCCTTGTTGGACATGGGAACTGGTTCAATAGGACGGCCAGGCAGGGTCATGGGAGCTGCAGAAGGACTGACAAGAAAAACAGAATAAGCAGTTGGGGGCTCCCACTTTTAGTACCTCAAGAGTTTTTCTCTTCTACAATCAGATTTTTCCTTCATCAACTAGCCACCCAGTTCGTGGGGAATGTTTAATTCCAGGGATGAACAGAATTAAAAACCATGTAATTGTGTAGAAAAGGCAAGCATCAGGCCCTAGAGGCTTGTATGGGCATCATCCAGCCAGCTTTGATCCCATCTCCTTCCCTTTCATGTTCCTACGAGAGTGTGTTTTGCGTATATGACTACAGAAGAATCCTGATCAAAAGGAGGGTGGAATGCAGAACATATTTTAACATTTACATAAACTCCAGACTTCATGGAGCATTGTTGTTGTTAAGTGTCATCAAGTCGCAGGTGACTCATAGCGACCCTATGAAGGAGAGTCCTCAACACTTGTGTGACTTTCATCCTCTCTCCAGGTTCATAGGGTTTCCGGAGGCAAGCTATTACGGAAGTGGATGCCACTCCTCCTTCCAAGCTTATTTTAATCGGGGAGCTCATGGAGCATTAGAGACTGAATATATCTCCAAAATTACTGCCCTGAGATATTATGTTCTTAAAACTAAACCACTGTTTAGCTTAACTACTAAGACAGAGCAGCCCTGAGTGTAACACACTCTTAAGATTTAGCTACATCTGATCAAAGTAACAACAGTGACTTGAAGGGGCAGTGAATTAATGTTAATGATTGAGGAACAGGCAGTGAATTAATGTTAATGATTGAGGAACAACTCAGAAAAAGAAGACAAGAAGGATGGCATAACTAAAAAATGGAATCAATGTCATGGGACTGTACTTGGAGAAATAGTTGCATTAGTGCCTCTTTTGCTGTATCAACAAAAACAATACAATGAATTTTAAAATATGAGTGAGTGTCTACAGATGCTCTGGGTTCTCTTCTATGTGCTGGTGAAGCATCAAGGAACAAGAGCGATGGAGCCCCAGCCCTGTGTAGCTAGTCCATGAATTGCTGTTTTTGTTTTTGTTGTTGTTATGTGCTGTCGAGTCGCTTGTGACTCATAGCGACCCTATGTACAACAGCCCTGAAACCTGCTCTATCTTGTGCTGACTTTATTGTTTCTGACACACCAACTCCCATTACCCTAGTCACTGAGTCAATCCATCTCATCCAGGGTCTTCCTCTCTTGCACTATCCCTATACCCTCCCAAGCATGACGTCCCTCTCCAAGGACTGGTCCCAGTCCCTCCTGGGACCTCCAAAGTGTGTCAGATGAAGCTTAAGAATCTTTGCCTCTCACATAAATTAATAAGATGGTCTTAGATGGCAAATATCAGGTGGAAATGAAGTTATTGTGTGTTTGTGTATGTGTGTGTGGGGGGGTGGTCAAAGAAAAAGCAATAACTGGATTGAGGTCAAGATGGCAAAAAAAGAGAGTCACTGTCGTCCTCCTCAATTGCCATCAAGTTGATTCTGAAACATGCGAAGCCCACGTTACAGAGTAAATCGCTCTGCAGGGTTTACCTGGCTGTGCTCTTAGCAGAAGCCAATCCCTAGGCCTTCTGTTCCACAAACGAGTTTAAAAAGAGATCTAGTTCTGGGAAAAGCCCAAGGAAGGAAAACAGGTAGGAACTTTAAGTGGCAGGATGACCAGCATGTGGCAAGCTTCAGGCAGAAGCCAGCGTGCATGTCTGGCAGAGAGCAGACGTGTGGTGAGGAGGACAGTGGGAATGGAGGAGCCTGAAGGGGTAGAAAGAGGTCACATCACATCAGGCCTGCCAGCTCCTGGAGGCAGCACTGATGTTACAAGGCAGATGCCAGGTAGCTCCACCTTCTCAACCAGAAATGTAACCAAAACAGATGCTGTCCTGGGGATGCTTTCCTGGGGAAAGGGGAACTTGCTCCTGTATTAATCCCTCCATGCACCCATTCACACAATGACTATTTGGTGCTTATGGTGAACCGATATCTATGTAATTAACTTGATAGCTTTGATCATAGTTTTAAGTCAGCCAATCATTCTATTGCTAAGGGCCTCTGCCCTTCAATTTATAAAATAGGCTAATACATGAACTCATTAGGAAACAGGTTAGCTTCTGGTCTAGTACTGATGGAGGCTTGGGAGGAATCATCTCTAGTCTCTGTTGTAGAGTGCTGCTGTGAAATGAAACACACATTGAAGCACAGCATGCAATCTGTCTCTGGGGTTCCCCGTACCCCTTTCTCCACCATCTTCAACTACAAGAGTCACAGTGTGGTGTGGAATCCAGCAAGAGGACTTCAAGGGGAGTGGGCGTGGGACTGTGTTCACTCTCTTACCTCAGAAAACTGAAGTCTCCCGAAGTCGCTGGGTGGACTGGCGATCTTGAAGACTTTCTTGGGCATCACCCACGTCTCCAGGGTTTCGAGTTTGCTCACAGCCAGATTGGTAGCGTGGTGCTTGATGAGGAAGCCCTGGAAGCGGTCAGCAAGGAAGTAGAGGTGGACAGACGCTGGGTGGCCCATCGGGTAATACCTGAAAGAAAGGCATGGTCTCACACATGCTCAAGGGTTAGGCCTGAAGGTACGCGGGGCCACGGTGGGGCTCCCCATGCACCATGCCAGTCCTGTCCCCCAAAGAGACTCTGCTGGAGTCCTTCCTTTTTTTTTTTTGTGTGCATACCATCAAATTACATAGGTAGGTTGTAATTTGATGGCACACACACACACACACACACAAATTTTTTTTTATTTTTTATAAGTGGTGTCTCTCTGGAGACTAAGGTGCACGTGATATAGGCCATGGTTTTTGCAATCACTTGTTATGCATCAGAGAGGGAGGATAGAAGAAGAATTGACACCTTTGAGCTGTGGTGCTGGAGAAGAGTATTGAATGTACCATGGACTGCCAAGAAAACAAAAAGATTCATCCTGGAGAGGAAGGGTTAAACCAGGCTGCTCCTTGGAGGCAAGGATTCTGGGGCTTCGTCTGACATACTTTGGACATGCTGTAAGGAGAGACAGGTCTTTAGAGAGGGACATCATGCTGGGTAGAGTAGAGGGACAGCGCAGGAGGGGAAGACCCTCTATGAGGTGGATTGATTCAGTGATTGGGGTAATCGGGATGGGTGTGTCAGAGGCAATGCGATTGGCACAGGATGGAGCAGGGTTTAGGGCTGCAGTACATAGGGTCGCTATGAGTCGCAAACGACTTGACGGCACATAACAACAACAACAACCATCAAATTGGATCTGACTGGTACAGGAGGAGATTGCCCCTCCTTCTCCAGCAGCGCATCTGGTGATTTTGAACCGCACACCTCAGGGATTGCAGTACAGCTTCCTGCCACTAGGCCACCAGAGCTCCCGAAGGAGCTCTTCCTTTTTGGCAAAGCCTTATCACTTTTCTTTGCCTCCTTCTGAAAGCGGCACTTCATGGATCTATAATCTTAGTTATTTTTAAAATACCCACTTCATAACAAATATCACTTTCATTTTTTTCCGTATACAATTTTGTTTCGGGGAAGCTCTGGTGGTGTAATCCCTTGGGGTGTTGCATTGCTGACCCAAAGGGGATGCTTTGCTTGTGGATTTGAATTGTGGGAGAAAGATGAACAATGCTCTCCAGTGCAATCCATCGACAGCATCTTTGAAAACCCAACGGAAAGTCAGCTATGAGTCTATTCTGGCTTCCTGGCAATGCACATTTAACTCCTGCCGCTCAGAACATACACGGCAGAATCCACACCAACTCAACAATTTTCACATGCACAATTCAATAGCATTGGCTCTAGTCTTCAGGTTGTAAGCAACTCTCACTCCTCTACTCCAAATTGTTCCTTTGCCATTAAGATAAACCCACTGCCCTTTGCAGTTTCCCATCTGATTTTTCAAGTTGCTGTTCTCAGTTTGACCCTCACAATGCTCAAGGCACACATTCTTTTCCTGTTAAGTTCAACTGTTTGATCTTAAAAAGCTATCAGGGCATTTTGTTTCTTTTTTTATTTCAGGGTGCTTTTTTAAAATACTCTTTTTAAAAATTTATTTTAATGAAAGTTTACAGAGACTTTGGATTTCCATTCATTCATTGTTGCACACTTTCCTCCCTGCTCACCCTTTCCCCCCACTTTGCTTTTATCTTTGAAAAGTAAACAAAGCAAACAAACAAAAATTTTTCATTGTTATACAATCCTCTCTGCCCACCGCCCCCCCAAGTTTACTCCACTATGCAGCTTTCATTCTGGACTCTTGTCATGACAATAATACCTAATTATAATTTTTTTTCTCCTAAACAGTTCTCTTTCTTATCTGGTTCGAGGCAGTAAACATTGTTTATCCCCTCTTAGTTTGCCCTCAACTCCGATGTCAGGCCCGCTTTACAACAGTGGCACTATGGTTTCCGTTTCAAAGATGAATCACAGGACAGTAGATTCAAGGGTTCATCCAGCCTCTATGGTTTCCGTTTCAAAGATGAATCACAGGACAGTAGATTCAAGGGTTCACCCAGCCTCTATGGCTCCAGAGAGCCTTGATTCCATGAGAATTTGAAATTCTGTTCTGCATTTTCTCCCTTTTGATCAGAATTCTTCTGCAGCATTACTGAGCAGATTATTTGGTAATGGTAGTTGGGCACCATCCTGTTATTCTGGTCTCACAGCAAAGGAGGCAGTTGTTCATGGAAACAATTAGTCATACATTCAACATCCTTCTATTCCAGACTCTTCTATTGCTTCAGTAATCGTAATTGTTGTTAGGTGCTGTCGAGTGGCACTACTCATAGCAACCCTATGAACAAAAGATCTGCGCTCTGTTCTATCCTATGCTGTCCTGACACTTCCTGACACACAAGAGCCCACCGCAGCATAATCTTAATAGCTATTTTTGCTGACCATGAATATAAAACAAGTTGAGTGTTCAAAAGTACAATAAAGAACACTGTCTAATAGGATGTCTAAGGTTGTAGATCTTTAGGAAAGCAGCCTATCACTTCTTTTATTGGGGATCAACTGGCAGGTCTGAACTACTGACTTTTTGGTTAGTAGCAGTGTTTAATCACTGTGCTACCAAACCCTTGCAAAAGTATTCCTGGTCGAGATCACATATATATGAACATATCTGTTGTGCTTAATAGTATTCACTGTGGAGAAAAACAGTTTTTCACCTATCTTTGGAAAGTTTCTGAAAAAAACAATTTCTGTGTGTGTATCTACACATAGTATTTCAATGTATGAATAATGTTTATTGAGTAGGTTCCTTATCATCGTGGAGGCTCCAAATTTATGGCTTTTACAAACAACACTGCTTTCATTAGAGATTCCTGAGCAAGATGCATTTTGGAGAAACTCTCTCTTTCTTAATCTCTGGTATGGTCTTCATGCCTGCTGCTTGACTTCACCAGAAAGGCTGAACTCATTCATACTCATCCTTCTGACCATTCAGAAAAGGATGTATTAGTTTTAAAAGTGACTGTCTGGGGGGAGCTTTGGTGGTTTCTAGTGGTGAGGACTTGCTTGCACTCCCAACTCAAAGGCACATGGTTCAAACCCACCAGTTACTCCATGAGAAAAAAAATGAACAATCAACTCCTGTGTGGTGGCCTCTGAAAACCTGTTGGAGGGTCAGGTATGAGTCAGTTCTGATTCTGCAGCACAGAATGACACCCCACCTGACAATCAAAACAAAAGAAAGAAAGGAAAAAGGAAGCGCCTGCTTTTAAAACGCACGTGTTTTGAGTTGGGCGGTGGGTGGATGGCAGAAAGGGGCAGGGAGTGAAGAGAGGAAGGGGCTGGGGGCGACGATGGAGGACTGAGGGGAAGCCTCACTTGATGCCTCCAATTTTTGAAAAGAAAAGGCTGCCGCCTGGGTGGTGTGTAAATTCTACAGCACTCATGGCTCCTTAATAACAACGTTCCATAAATCACCACGCCGCCTCAGCTAAACGCAGCTTTCTGAGGTCCCCTCTGGAGCCCGAGTCTTTATGTCCAATTATAATGGTTAGGGACGACTCCTCCCTGTGCTCATGCCTCCCCTGAAATCACTGCCTTGTTGCTGGGATGCCTTAGGGCTCTGAGAAAGAAGACAGATGCGTCTCTGGATTGCTCACTGGATATTCCCAGCTCCTCCAAAGCCCACTCTGGGCCCCTGGAGATCTTGGAGAGGCAGGCCACCCCCTACATCTAGGCTTGAGCAGACAAGTCTAGACAGGGCTGTGCAACAGGACTTCCTGCCATGGGACGGTCCGTGCCTGCACCATTCAACGCGGGAGCCCATGGAGACACAGCATCCCCAAGGGGTTAAGAGCCAGGGTGTCTGACTGCTGAGTGGCTGTAAATTGGTGTCCCACTCCCTGCTGCAAGGATTCTGGGGCTTCGTCTGACATACTTTGGACATGTTGTAAGGAGAGACAGGTCTTTAGAGAGGGACATCATGCTGGGTAGAGTAGAGGGACAGCGCAGGAGGGGAAGGCCCTCTATGAGGTGAATTGATTCAGTGACTGGGGTAATCGGGATGGGTGTGTCAGAAGCAATGAGATTGGCACAGGATAGAGCATGGATTAGGGCTGTTGTACATAGGGTTGCTATGAGTCGCAAACAACTTGACAGCACATAACAACAACACCAACAACTCCCTGCTGCAAGGAACCACAAAAGCAAGCCTCCGTCCGGAATGCTCAGAGCCACAGTTCTGCTCTGACGCACACAGAGTTGCCACAAGTCACAATATTCCCCACAGAAGCAAGTGTGGTGGCAGCTGTAGCCATGTGGGCTACCAAGTCCTCGAGCTGTGGCTACTGAGTTTGAGGAACTGATTTTTTTGACATTGTGGCAAGAAGCTGCGCTGCAATCCTGAAGGTACACAGTTCGAACCTACTAGGTGCTCTGCAGGAGAAGGATGGGCAAGCTCCTTCTGGGTGATTACCTCTACCTTTGAAAAACTGCTGGAGGCCCAGCGATGGGTCAGCTCCGACACAACGGTACACAACAGTGACATTCCATCTGGCCAATTCATTGGCCCTTGTGACCACTCTAGTGCGAAAGACAAGTGCAGTCATGGAAAATAACCTGCGGTGGCCTGTAGTAATGTCCCCACTGCTCTCTCCCTGCCACGTCCATGCCCTCCTCCTTTTGCCTGCCTCTGCATCAGAAGGCTGAGAGTCTTCCTTCTCGCCTCTGAACTCAGAGCTGGCCTCTCCTCTTGCAATGGCCAAGAGAACATTCAGGAAGGTGTGGCAGACGAGCTCTGCGCCTAGGCTTGAAGATGCCCTGAGTGTTTCCACTTAGCTCTATTGCTCCGAGGTGAGCACCGGGATGGTGAGCCCGGGCCAGCCTGATGGAGGATGAGGCTCTACAACAGAGCCCTTGCCACCACGAACTTCTTGCAAAAGCCCTTCCAGATGAGCCAAGAGCCAGCTCATTCCCAGGCAACGTCAATCACAACTGACCTCACAAGACCACGAGGGCTGCATCCGCCCAGAGATAAAGCTCAGAAAGCAGGAAGGGAGAAGACAGAAAGAATCATGGGAACAAGAATCACACA